CACAAAAAAAAAAAAAAAAAAAAAAAATGGCATTAGAAATAGAGACAGTTCACTTTTCTACTCTGTTCTGAGACTGTAGAAATTAAATTTAACTTGTGTTTATAGTTATAAATCCTATAGTTGGAAAGTGGCAATGCTGTTGGTCCCACTACATCTTGTGCTGTTTGGGAATTCTAATTACAACTGGTAAAACAAAACCCACGGCTCTTTGTGATGAAGGGCATTTTACAAAGTGAGTGGCTTACACAAAACTAACCTGTTTTCATAGGTTTAGTGTGTCCCATACGATTAATACAGCAACTTGCACAACCACTTGGTATAAACATTTTCACAAACTGAGCATCTGATTCTATGAAGTTATGTCCAGTCTTTTATCTGCTGTGTAGAGGTAAGTACACAGGCTGGCCAGTTAGGAGTACCACCACCTACTCGCTGTTTGATCTCGGTGGATGACAAAACCCCTTCAGACTTTAGTTTCTTCACTTGTCAAATGAGTATTATCCCATCTACTCAGTTATCATGTAGATTGGTGTTTTCGATGGAATGAGACAACATGTCAAGGTTTTTCAGTGAAGACAGCTGTTCCAATGTAGGATCACATTTGAGTTTAACTTCAGTAGACACTGTCTGACTCTCCTATTTGAACCTTTGTTTATCACCAGGAACTTGGGGAAAAGTAATATCCACCTCAAAGAGTTGTGAGGATTAAGGAAAGTAAGACACCCAAACTGTGAAGTTTGTGAAAAATGTAGGTTGATTTTTATTGCTCATTGACTATATAAGGAAAGCATTAATAATTTCATAATTTTGTATAATTTATTCCTGTTACTACATATTTAAAATCTCAAAGTCCCTTCAAAACCTGAAGCTTTTCCTGTGAAACCTGACACACTTTGCATTTAAATGAAGAGAGGGCTTATAGGTTTGAGCGATATAATGGAAATACCTCATAGACCTTTGGGCATTTTACGATTGACCACTGCCATTTTTATGGGGAGTTAGATATCCACAGTTGAGCATCATAAATTAATTCCACACAGCAATTCAATAGTTCATTGTAGATTGACATGTACAAGAAAGGAAAAGGAAAGTCACAATGGTCTGGTGGAAGTTAATCCAGTGGAATAATCACATTCTTTTGATATTTCTTTGACTGTTGTGTCTAATATCCACATGCCATTTTGAGATCACATAGTTTCATTTGAACACTTTCACTGGTACATTTTTCTTTCTGAGTTCCTTTTTAACGTGTGTCTTTCTGCTTCCCATCTGCTGTCTCAGTTTTACAGGATGTCCAATTGCTCTAAGTGTGAAGGCTTGAGGTCAGCATTTAAAGCTCACGGAAATGAGGCAGGTGCTCCGTGGGAGGTGCAGGTGGCTTAGAGACAGACGTGGCTGTTTTCATGGCACGTGGTACCCGTGCTAGCCACAGACAGGTAAAGCTTCCCGTCTGGACACACACAAATTTCGTAGAGTCTTTGTGAGCTGCCAGCGGGACCCCCAGTCCCCTGAACCAACTTGGGTAAACACACAGTTTCAGCATCAAGCGCCAGCTGCTTGGGAGACAATGAGAGAGACAGTGGTAAAGGGGGAACGAACACGATAAGCATGAAATTCATCTTCTCCAAATGTTCTAAACAAATTAGTTTTTTCTCTGCATAGAAAATGAAATAGGCACCTGGCTTTACTTAAGTCTTAATTATCTGATTCTTTTAAAGCCTATTTCTATTTTACATTCAGGTAGGGGCTTAATAATTCCTTCTCCAAATTGAAGGGAAGTCGTATTTTCTGTTACCCATTGTGCTAGTTGAGCTAGGGAAATTTAAGATGCTACACTCCTAAAAATACCTTTCAGAATTATTTGACAAAATAATAGGATTCTTTTGCTAATTCCCATTTAGCTTGTAATCCACCTTGACTTTATGCTAAATTGTCTTCTCCCCACTAGGATAAAGTACAAGCCATAGAAATAGATTCATCTTAATAATTTTTACCTGTGAATGTTGCAATTTCTCCTGATTTTATTTTCCTTTGAGAGGCAATTAAATTCATCCTATTAGCTAGCAACCATTTCTCTAACTTTTAAAATATTATTTGAAACTCTGCTGCCTTCTATTAGATGTGGAAGTGCAGTAGACACACAGACTAAAGCCAACTAAAATAAATGGAAGCTACTGGATTTTTTGTTCTTATCATAGTTTAGCTAAACTGTAATGCAAACAAATGGCCATTGATTGAGATGTAGAAATCTTTTGGATACCTTAAGGTAATAAGAATTATTGCACTGAGCAGGCAAACCATACCCATTCTAGAGTGCTCACTTGTTGGAAGGAATTAAAGTATGTTGAGGGTAGGCATAACGTTCTCCCTTGCCAACAAAATTAGATCCTTTATTTTACGTAGCTCTCATCCATGAACTCCAATCTGTTAATAAACTGATGTTTGCAGTCTGTACTCCCTCTCGGGACGCTGACCGCTGACATGTGGAGCAGTGAGTGGAACTCTATGAGTGGCATTACAAGCAAAGCTTTATCCTTGCGGTCTGGACACTGTTAGAGTGAAAGAAGTCAAATGAGTATCATTATTTTAAAAGCAGAACCTAATGAGGTTAGCCTCCAATGCTTTGGGTTCCATGGGTACTTCCTTGTCCCTAGCCTGTTGGCTTCTCTACTTTCTTCTGATTAATTGGTCAATTTTTTCTAGTTGTTACTTTTTTCCAGCTCTCCCAGCAAACTCTAGTCACTGGTATCCACATACCGCTCCTTGCTGGTCTGTATTTGCCTTCATGGGAGGATATTTTGTGGGACACCAGGCATCTCTTCACGTTGGACTAGCTCCCAGTAATAAGGGATATCAGCTTTAACTATGAGTCAGGCTGTGTGCTGCTTGTAAAGATGACACCTAATTCACGAAAATTAGTAATATGATTTCAAAATTAAAATCAGGATCAATTTTTCAAGGTAATACATTTTAAGTATGTAGTAACATTATGATTTAGTAGTGAGATTCCAAGATTCTTGATGTCCAGTTTTGCATTTATCTGCTTCTGGCATCATGACTTTTTAAGTTATAACTTGCAGGGCCTTCGCCAGACGACTTTTCCATTCCGAGCGGCCATCGGATGGGTCCTGTGCGCACTCAGCAGCTGCCTCTCATAGTCTCCACTTGATGCCTCAACTGCACCTTCCTCTCAACATTAAATTAATATAATTTCAAAATGTTGTCACTCATATTAGCACATTGCTGTCTCATGACTCTGTGATACAGTTAAGCAAATATTATTTCCCCTATTTCACAAATGAGAAGATAGGCCCAGAGAGGCCTGTTAACTTCCCTGAATTCAAATAGGTAATTAGTGAATTGATCTAGCATCAGAACAATTAATATTGAGAAGCGTGTGCTCTCTTTCCTCATTATGACTTTGACTTATCTCAGTGACGTTTTATTTCTGGACTTGTTCCAGATTTTATCCTTATTGTAGTTGACTTTTAAAGCTCTTATTTTTCATATTTAATTTTCATTTAAACATAATTTGGTATGAGCAAGCACCGAGCTCTATGCAATAATAGATGCTGGTTGCCATTTACAGGTAACTCCTAGTGACAGCCGTATTGAGAGAAGTTGGGTCACTAGGAAATGGCAGAATTGATATTCTCTGGAAGCTCTGCAAGGTGGTAGTATTTTTTCAAAGCTGACAATAACAAGAGACTTGATAGCACAAATACCAGTCAAAGCTGTCTGGATTCAATATAGAATTATTTTAACGTTTCTTGGCCCTTCTTTCAATGCTAAATTGTCTTTTGCCTTCCTTTCAAATTTGCTACTCTACGCCTTTCATAACATTTCTTTAGAAACGACCACAAATTGAATATCCTGCTACCATAATGGACCTGAGCCTCATCAGGACATGCAATAGGAGCTTGATCTGCTGAACTCACCGTTCCATCACTACTATGAAAAATGATATCCATTTGAGAAAGGGCCTCGATTGTCCCAGCATGAGCTTTAACATGAACGCCCTTTGGGGCGTCCATGCTTAGACTCCGTGTGGGGGATTCTAATCTGAAATGAGGGAAAGAAACCAAGAAAAAAATAGTATTAGAAAAAGCCACCCCAGAGATCCCTCAGCCAACGGCTTAGCATAGAAAATATAATGAATAAGGTATATAATATCTTCACATCATTCTTGAATGCTAATATGTTGTATATCATTCATTGACAAATCCAGAAATAATGTGCAGTAAAGAAATTAACTTCTCATCAGTGAGAGTCTATGAAATTGGTATCCTCCAAAAACAGATAAAGGCATTATACAGCCAACCCTATGCAGTAGTTTCAGATGGCATGGTTGAGCACTCTGGCATACCACAGCAGAAGAAAACGCTGTTTGTAAGTAACTTTGTCAAACTTTTAATTTTAGTTAAAACACAAACTTGCTTGGGAAAAGGATAAATTTAAGGGAAACACATTCATTTGCTTTATGTTCATAACATAGAACGCAAGTTGGGCCTTTAGGCTTTGTTTGCATTTTCTTTTTTTTAATTTAGGAAGATTACAGGGCAGATGCAAAGATTTCTTTTGGAAAAATATTGAACTGAGGGAGTTGACAGGATGGAGATTGGCCTCAGCTGGCTTTGTTTTTGTAAAATTTACCAGAATCTCCTTGTGATTAACTCAAACATAGATTCAGAACCAAGAATATATGGATCAGAAACATTCTCTTATTTGCCTCTGCCTGGAAAAGACTGAATTTCCACCAGATGTCACAACGTGATCATTTGAAAGGTTTTCAGCTGCTCCAACACAACTCAATCCAAAAGTTTGAAAGGCTGATTTGATTGGAATGTTTCAATATCAATTAGAGGGAGAACAGGATAGAAAAAGATCTATAATCCTCCCACTGTAGGGTAAGATTAGAGTGGAGGTGGGTACAAAAGAGAAAGGGGGGCGGAAATGGTTTAAGAAGAGAGAAGTACTCTAAAAATGAGTTTGTATTTGAATTGAGTTCAATTAGCAATTGAATAGAATATTTATTTGATACACTTTTAAATCAAATGGATTGCTACCTTTAATTGGCAAAGTTTTCATTTACCACTGTCATAGAAAACAAAGTTTCATTTTCCTATGTACATCTCAGTATGTAAAATTTGATCTTTTCCACATTTTGAAATCTTACTTTAAGTACGAGAAAACACTTAGAGACATTTATGGAATTTATTGGTCAAATTCTGTTGGGCTTAGATTATGGGGAAACACCTTGAAATATCTAGAGGAGCTTAGTCCGGCTGGTTGCCTGCCCATTTTGCCATTTCAACCTTTGCTAGTTGCCTACATTTTTCCTGCCTGGATTGATAGAAAGAACAGGGGAGGGGAATGGGAGGGAGGAGGACCTGCAAGCAACTTGTAGAGGTCTGGCCCATTTCAGGCAAACCATCTGTGATCTTGAACACCCTAAGGTGAAGGTAAGTCGGTTTCAAGGATCAGTTGTCCAACAACAAAATGACCTCAATTACTAGTTTTTAACCATGTTATAATATGATGCTTCCAGAAGAGCAAACTTCTTCCCCTTTGCATCATTTCTAGCCTTGGAGATGAAATATTTCAGTTCAGCATAGGTTAAGACACATTTTACCAAAAAGGCTGCAATTAGAATGCTCTGAAATATATGTTTCCATGAACACTGAACAGTAGTCAGATATAGACACACGCACATGCATACACACACATGATTCATGTTATAAAAATACAATTAAGATAATTTGGTTGCTAAAGCAGGTGAGTTTTAAATTGTGTTCCTTTTTAAATAAAGACAAATAGAATTCAGGAACTTCCCAAAGCTTTGCCCACGTTAATTTTTAATTGAGCTTATAGAATATGACTAGTCAATCAATCATGTATGATCTTAACATTTATTGCACTTGTCATGTTAGTGTCATTCAAAAAAAAGGGAAAAGTTACTGAAAACTATGTGTAATATTTCAATTTTAAGCTCTTTCAGGTTTAGATTAAGCCCAAATTTTGTAAAAAAGGTGAGAGACCAGTGTGGGGGAAGAGGGAGAATCCCCCTCTGCCCTTTCCCTTAAGGTTCTTATGGCTGGCCAAATAATTAACAAGACAGGTTAGCAGGAGAAAATAATACCAAGTTTAATAACATGTATACATGGGAGAAACTCAGAAATGAGCAACACGTCCCTCTGTCTAAGCTGCTTGCTTAAGTATTGTAGCTAAAGGCAAGGAAGGTGTTGGGGGTGGGTAGTAGTCTGGGACTTCAGAGGGCAAGAAGACAATTCTTTTCAGGGTCATCTATAGATAATGTGGTCAGGGAGAGACAGAGTTTTTGATAAAAGGGGCTTGGTGGCCCTCCCATTGTAACATCTATTTTACATTATCATTACAGCCATCATGATAGAAGATCTGTTCCAGGAAGGAGCCACCATGTCAAATTCTTTAGGCAGTTAGTGGGGGAGGTCAAATGTCCGTCAGAGAAAACAATCAAGGTAAAGAGATATATTTCGGGGTGGCCAAATCTTGATCTCCCACACCAGGAAGCATAAATACAATTATGATAAGAAAACCTAGCCGAGAGGCAGCACTGGGCAGATCATGCAATGCCTGCTAGACTATGTCTACCACGAGACGGTGTCAACCACTAGACCATGCTGACTACTGGACTATGTTAACTGCATGGTCTTCCATCTGAAAGTGGTTGGAAGTATGTATTTATTCATTGAACACCTATTTATGATGTGTCTGGTATGTGCTCTTCTAGGTTTGTAGGGAAATGGTGGCAAACTAGGTGGACAAGTCTCCTGCCCTTAGGAACCTAACATTCAAGCAGCTTAAAGGACTGGAGCAGAGGAATGACAAGGTTCAATTTTTGTTTCAATAATATCACTCTAAAAAGTCTAGTCAAGACAGACGAGCAGAGGCAGAGCTCTCCCCGCTCCCACAATTACATATAAATGCTGGATAAAATATAATCAAAAACATTAAAACACATATGAGGCATAAAAACAAAAAAAAGAAAGGGCATTTTCAAGGTGCCAGGAACAGAAGGAACTCATAGCCAGAGGGATGAGTGGGAGCTGACATGCTGGAGCCCAAGGAGGTAAAGGGCAGACATATGCCCTAAGGGTTGCTATTTTAAATCTCTATAAGGAAGGAGTTGTGGCCATGGCAGGGGGTCGGGGGTGGGGTGGAAATGGGTTCTGGGCATACAGGCAGAGGTTGAACCACAACATGGTCACAGCCCTAGAGCAGGCTGCTCATTCTGTGATGTGAGTGGAAACAGTCATAAATCATGCGTTAGTGTAGAACCCAAATCTACTCTTCAGGCTTTGTATAAGCCCCAAGCTGAGAAATACATACGAAAGCAAGTGTCAGAACAGTGACCCCTGCAGGGCCCTGGCAGAAGGGACTGTGAAACTGACAGTTAAGGCAAATACAAGACAGTCTCCCAGACAAAGAGCCAAAGAAGAGGAGCTCTGTGACAAAATTTTCAAACCACATGAGAAAATCTATCAATATGAGGAACTAGAGATAATAGAGCAGTCAGAAAGGGACTAAAACACAATTAAGTTTAGAACATTCAAAGAGATAAATCAATAATGCCCATGGAATAAGGCCAGAACAGAAAAGAAAGATTTAAAAACCAGGTAAGTGGAAATTCAAGAAATAAAATAAACTCTTCTGGGGGACTAAATAGTAGACATGACACATGTGAAAAGAGAATAGGACATTGGAATGTAGATTTGGTAATTCAGTGGGAAATCAATGCAAAATCTGAAATACAAGAGGCAAGGAGGATGAAAAGGGAACTTCCAAGGTAGAGGACAAGAGTCACAGAGCAGGGACTTGCACAAAGGTTCTTAACCTCCCTTCATGCCAAGGACCATTTGGCACGCTGGTGAAGTCTATGAGTTGAACGTTTTTAAATGCACAAAATAAAGCACAAAGAATTTCAAATGAAACTAGTAACTTTTAAATACAAGTGTAAAAATATCTTTAAATGTGTGATATAGTAATTTATGAGCTTATGTAGTAATGCATTAAATAACATCTAGTTATAGGTCTTACAACTACTGTAATTTCAAAGCAGTGAAGAGCATGAAAAGTATTTTGAGATACTTGCTGTAACTGTTATATGATATCAAAATATCAGTGACTTCTATAGGTGAACAAGTCAAAGGAACTGCTAATATTACTGTGGTTTGTTGCCTATCATTTAAAGTTGAGGAATGCAAAATTTCAAGTAGAGGTCAGTGAAAATGAAGACTTTCTTTTTCACATTCAAAATCATTAATCCACTAAATTCTATTCTTGGACCCCCAAGGGATCCACAGACCATAAGTTCAGAACCCCTGTCATCTACAGAATGAAGAAGAAACAGATATGAAGAGGTAATGGCTAATAATTTTCCAGAATTTAAAAATAGCATGAGTTCCTAAAATTAATGAAGTACACCAGTACCCAAATATGAATGAAAACATATCTGACATCCAAATACTTTGTGGTGAAACTGCAAAACTTTCATATTAATGACACAGTCTTAAAAGTATTCTGAATGAAAATCAGACTGCTTACAAAGAACCAAAAGTAATGAGTAATATCTTAAAAATGCTGATGTAAAATTGTCAGCCTGGAAATGTGTTCCAGCTTAAGTATCATTCAACTATGAAGGAACTCGACATTTCAGGTCTAGAGGGAAAAAGTTTACAGATCCTCGCTGAAAAAAGTACTTATAGAAATTAAAACCAGAAGAAGCAAGAAGCATTGGTGAACATCAGAAAAGTCACTAAAATGTGTTGGTTAAGCTAAATATGTATGGCCCGAAAAAATTAAAGCAGGGAGATGAGTCAAAGCAAAGTTGAAATAAAACAACACGGAAAGGGAAGTTTGGATGAAAATAACTTTCTAAATTTTTTGGTATTATTTGGGAAGAGGATGATGATGACTTAGACTTAGAAAGTGTTAATGTATCTCCATATGTATAGAAAATAAAGAATGATCATTAAAAGAAAAAAAATAGAACCATTAGAGGGAAATATTGGTGGAGAGAATAAGGAAAAGATTACCAATCCAGTAAAAGGCCAGAAAGGAGAAAAAGTGAAAAGAAAAAGCACAGTAAATAAAACATAACACAAGATAATAGAAATATGTCACTATTTGATGTGACATAATAAGTCAGTGATCATAATAAATACAAATGGTTAAATTTACCTATTAAAAGCTAGGAACTTTATTGTGGGGGATTAAAAGAAAATCTCAAATGAAGAAATTTAACCCCTAGAGAAATAACTGAAACATAATGCTGCAAAAATGTTGGGAAAAGGTAGATAAGTGCAAAAGAAAGTAGAACCAGGTACAGCAATATTAATATCAGACAAAATAGGGACAATGACATAATGATTAAAAGGAACAATTCACAAGATTAGTTAGCATGGACTTGTATGCATCTAAAAATTAATGCAAAATAAAAAATCAACAATACAAAAAGTATAGTGGGAGTTTTAATAAACCTCACAGAGAAACTGATAGGTACAGAAGACAAACATAATAAATATATAGAAGATACTAACAATGTAATTCATAAGATTGGCCTAATAGTCACATATATATATGTAAACCTTGCATTAAAGCAAAAGAAACCCACACATCTACGGACAGCTAATTTTCAACAAGAGAGCCAAGAACATACAATGGAGAAAGGAAAGTCTCTACAATAAATGGCGTTGGGAAAACTGGACAGCCACATGCAAAAGGATGAAAGTAGACCATTATTTTACACCATACACAAAAATTAACTCAAAATGGATTAAAAACTTGAATATGAGACCTGAAACCATGAAACATCTAGAAGAAAATATAGGCAGTATGCTCTTCAACACTGGTCTTAGCAACATATTTTCAAGCACCATGTCCGTCCAGGCAAGGGAAACAATAGAAAAAATAAACAAATGGGACTACATCAAACTAAAAAGCGTCTGCATGGCAAAGGAAACCGTGAACAAAATGAAAAGACAACCTAACAACTGGGAGAAGATATTTGCAAATCAAATGTCTGATAAGGGGTTAATATCTAAAATATTTAAGAACTCATACATCTCAACAACAAAAAACTAACAACCCAATTAAAAGATGGGCAAAAGATCTGAATAGACATTTCTCCAAAGAAGATATACAGATGGCCAACAGGCACATGAAAAGATGTTCAACATCACTAATTATCAGGGAAATGAAATCAAAACTACAATGAGATATCACCTCACACCCATCAGAATGGCTATAATTAACAAGACAGGAAATAACAAGTGTTGGAGAGGATGTGGAGAGAAGAGAACTCTCATACACTGCTGGTGGAAATGCAAAAATGGTGCAGCCACTATGGAAAACAGTATGGAGATTCCTCAAAAAATCAAGGATAGAACTACCATACGATCCAGCTATTCCACTGCTGGGTGTTGATCCAAAGAACATGAAAACATGCATGTGTAAAGATACACGCATCCCTGTGTTCACTGCAGCATTATTCACAATAGCCAAGACTTGGAAGCAACCTAAGTACCCATCAAGGGATGAAAGGATAAAGAAGATGTGGTATATATACACAATGGAATACTACTCAGCCACAAGAAATGATGAAATCCAGCCATTTGTGGCAACATGGATGGGCACTGAGGAAATTATGCTAAGCAAAACAAGTCAGAGGGAGAAGGTCAAATACTATGTAATCTCACTCATAAGTAGAAGATAAAAACAACAACAAACACATAGAGACAGAGATTGGCTTGGTGGTTACCAGAGGAGAAGGGGGGATGAAGGAGGGTGAGAGGGATGATTAGGTACGTGTGTGGTGATGGAATGTAATTAGTCTTTGGGTGGTGAACATGATGTAATATATGCAGAAATTGAAGTATAATGATGTACACCTGAAATTTCTATAATGCTATAAACCAATGTTACTGCAATAAAAAAAATATTAAAGAACAAAGCAAAAGAGAACTTACTTTCAACATAAAAATTTGGGAATAACTCTATGCCCATTATTTTGAAATCTCAAGTGACAAGAAAAAGTTTCCAGCAAGAAATAAAGAATCAAAATGGACTTAAGAAATAGAAAACTTGAAGAGAGGAACTTCATCACAGAAATTAAATTGGTAATGAAAAAAAATCCAGCTTCCCCAAAGCACAGGATGAGTGCTTCATTTCACAGATGAGTTTACACCAAACCGTCAGTTGC